TGCAGGCGCTGCAAGCAAGGGTACAAGCGATAGAGGAACAAGAAGCAAATCGCAGCAAACGTACTGCCGAAGCTTCCCCCGAAGCTACCCCGCCATCTCAGCGGAGAAGCAGCGTGGCTTCCACCGAGCTGCTTCAGCCGGAGCATGCCTTGACGGCTCCTGCCAGCTATCCCGTGGATGCTATCACGGAGTCTCAAAATTGCCACCTTATGACGCAATGGATGAATTTGAAGGTCAAGGCAGCTGTTGGCTCTGTTTATCCTACTGAACCCGGCGCAACTTTTCACTGTCGGGTGATTCCAGAAGGATATGCTAGGGTGATGGTGGATGAAATAACGGAGCGATTTGAGGACCTCTAGCTTGACCACCCTACCGGTGAAGGGGAGACTAGGCTAGGGTCTGCTCTGAAGACTCCATGCCTATGGCGGAAGGAGCTCATCAACCTTCCGAACTGGACGCCTCCACCTCCTCCGACAAGTCAGGGCACTCCGCCTCCTCCACCGTCTCCTCCTCCGGTGAGTCAGGGCACTCCGCCTCCTCCACCGCCTCCTCCTCCGGCGAGTGACGATCAGGGCACTCGACCGGCTCCTTCTCTGGCGCGTGGCGGCACTCCGCCTCCTTCTACGCCTGCGCCAACGCGCCCAAGCAGCCAGCCTCCTCCTTCTCTGCCTCGTCAGCAAGGGCGGAAGAGACCTGCCGCCGCTCTGGCTGCTCCGGCGCATCGTAGTCCTCCTCCGCCTCGTAAGCAAGTAAAGAAGACAGCCGCTCCGTCTGCTCGGCCGGCGTCTAGCAATATAGCCAGAGGCGGGAGGACATACAGATTCGGTCCTTCTCTGAAGACTCTAGAGAAGTTACCATACGAGAGGACCCCGGAGGAGAACGCGAAGATCGCGCGAACCGAAGTGGATGACTGGTTTCAAGGGTTGAAAGCAAAGAGACATCCACCTCCGGAGGAGAAGGTAGATCCGGTGAAAGCGAAGCGCACTCTGGCTGCCCTGACAAAACCACCCAAGTCTCCGCCGAAAGGAAACTATGAGCGCATTATTGAAAAGGAATTTGCCGAAGCGGAGCGGTCGGGAAGTACTGTCAGTGATCAAAGGTTGAAAGAACGACGAGCTGGGAAACAAATTGCCCAGTTCGGCGAACAAGCGAAGCAATCGTGCCCCCCGCTCAAGGTGCCTAGCGACAACGTCGCTAATGATCCGAGGATGGTGCCGGTTATAGCAATCTTGCCGATTACCTGCCCGACGATGTACATTATGAACCCATGGAGGTGCAGATACAAAGATACAAGTACGGGAAACCTGTCATCAAAGATGAAAGATCTCTATCAACGATGATGCGAAGATTGCATGATTGGTACTTGAAAATCTGTAGAGACTCTGGAGGGAGGAGTACTTTGTATGTGAAAGTTAAAAAGGAGCATGACCTCGTTGAAATTGAACTGTTGCCTGTTCCATTTGAGGAGTTCTTTCAGTTTTTCAATCAATTGGCCCTCAATAAAACAACGGTCACCTGCTACTGTCTGTAAGTAGTACTACTTCTGTCATTAAGTCTCTCTATATAGCTCAGCTCTTTCATTGCATGTATTTATAATCATCCTCACTATATTATGCAGATTGAAGATCGCCGAATTGAAGAAAAGACAAGTCGGTGATATTGGGTTCATTAACACATATCTCATAGATGCAACTCAGGTTAAATTTCATGCCGCAGATACCGAGGTCAACTTGCTACGATCGTTGGTAATAAATGAAAACAAAGATATAATACTCTTTCCTTACAACTTCAAGTGAGTGTTACTGTCTTGTGCGTATTCGGTTTCCCTTATATATATATTAGTCAAGGTTATAGTAATGTAATTGATGAGTTATGCATGTGTGTGCAGTTACCACTATATTCTCCTAGAGATTAAGCTTGAGCAGGGACTAGTAACTGTCTTAGACTCAAAACGAAAAGATCCCCAAGACTATGCGGACATGACTCAAATGCTCGAGAAGTAAGTTAAATCGATCATTATCCACCATATCAGCAACTTTGTTCATTTCCTGATATATCAAGTAATTGTTTTCTTTGTCTGGCAGGGTTTGGAAAAAATTCTCCAAAAAAGCTCCAGGACTCCCGAAGAAGCTGCAATTTAGACACCCGAAAGTAAGTACTATAGTAGCATGTTCCGCGCATCTCCTATTGATTTGGCATTCTTGCTTATCAGTTTGATTGACCTCTATTTCTTGTAAAGTGGTTGTGGTAGGAAAAAGGGAATGATTTCTGTGGATACTACGTTTGCGAGTCCATCCGCCACACGACCTGTGAGTGGGGCTACACTGACGAACAATATGAAGTACGTAAATAACAACATACACAATTTTATTTTATTACCATCATTTGTGTTGAGTTTCATTCATTCATATATATATATATATGTATTGACCCCCTTCTTCAAATTAGATATTTCGGAAGCGGGATGAACTCCTAGCACCAGCTCGCATGCGAGCAATTCAAGAGGAATTGGCGGCATTCTTTCTTGACCACGTGATCGCTGAAGACGGAGAATACTATGTGGACCATGAGTCCGTATGATTATATTTGTAAGAGATAATTATTGTATATATGTAGCCGGTAGTGTCGGATAGATATACGAGAACTTGTTGTTCGACCAATCTCTCGGAGAAGGAGAGGTGGTCGATATCACTTCTCTCTGTATGCATATATGTTTATGACGATCTTCTGTATCCTTCGTTTGCTTACTAGCTAGCTAGCGTGTCTAGTCCTCTCTATACGTGTGTATGGTACGTAGCGTCGACCAAGCACGGACATAAGAGAGGACACTTCTCTCTATTAATTATAGCTAGCTAACACAATATATGAAACACCTAAATTAACCCCCTAAAACCCCCAACCCCCCTTTCAAAAAAAACAAAAACCCCGGCCACAGAAATGCTGACGCGTGGATGTCTATTGGTCCCGGTTGGTGCCACCAACCGGGACCAAAGGGTCTCCTGCCTGGTCTCCGCGCACAGGCCATGTGGAGGCCCATCAGTCCCGGTTCTGGATTGAACCGGGACTAAAGGGGCAGGGCATTAGTACCGACCCTTTAGTCCCGGTTCAGGAACCGGGACAAAAGGCCCTTACGAACCGGGACAACAGATCCTTTTTCTACCAGTGCAATATAACACCTGATTTTGAAAGTTCATTATTTGTCTAAGTAACATAAAGTATACCATCCCTGAAATATGTTGTTGGTAACACCAATGTCCATGCAACAAAAGCAACCGTTCTCAAGAAGCCGAACTGAAAATGCCAATATCAGTTGTCGTGACAGCCTGAGACATTGTGAAGAGAAACAACTAACCATTAAATGACTGTCATTGGACTCGTTCACTCCGCTTGATATATAAGGGCAGTGGTTGATGGGCCGTCTGAAGATTAGGATCTTAGTACTCTACTTGAGGTCCATGCCCTTGTTGTGCAGCATGACATTTGTGGGTGTGAACATCTCGAGGAGCAGCACCTAGTCTGAATATGGAAAAGATATTACTGCCCCTAATCGAAACTACAGAAAATACATAACACCTCTCTCTGAACGTAGACATGCATCCCACTTCGTTTACCGCTCGAACGCTCGACCGCCTCCCTAAAAGTTGGTCCTCCTTCGCCCCCAAAATCCCACATCCCAAGATCGCGTGAGCTTATGCGGAGGATGAGCTCAGATAGTTGGAGGCGTGGCAGCGGGGAGGGGAGGGCGCTGTGGCATGAAGATCTTTGATCATTATTTGTTTGTGAGCATGGCGTCGTGCGGCTTGCGTTTCCACTGCTACTCGCTTTCTCTGTCAAGCCCGCACCATCATCAGAGCTGCATCGTGTACTGGCATGAGCACCGCATTAATTGGGCTCTCTTTTCATTAATTTCTTCATTTGCATGTCTAACGAATCCATTAATTCCTAATCCTGTTAATTATTTTCTTCTTTTTAAGAAATGTTTGTTCTTGGCCTCTTCTCTTCATTCCACATATGAATCACGAATCTCGGGTCTCTCCTCCTCAAAGGCATTTCTTATTGGTTCTTGAGTTGGCTTACCGAGTTCAACTCACATATGTATATAAATTGGTCGAATTATATGAAAGCGAGTGAGGTGGGACTAAATATATATGAACCATCTCTTCTTTATACACCAACGAGCTGGTGTATGCCAGTTTGGCACACGTATAAGTTGTGCGGATCTTCAAATTGAGCACAAATGGTAGTTAGTTCAGTTGGTCGCAGTGGAAGAAATAGCCTCGTATGTTGCGAATTCGAGTATCTGCTCTGGCAAATATTTTTGCCTCCTTTTCTATAATTGTACTACTGGGCCGGCTTTGTTGGGCTGCTGCACACTATGGGCGGGGCCCAGCTGAACTGGTTTTCACTTAATTTTTGGACTGTGGATTGAATACCGAATTGATACGACCTCGCGTATCGTAGACGGACGAAGAATTGGGGTGAACACACCAAAGAATTGGGGTGAACACACCAAAGAATTCGAGAAATGTGCCGTCTTTTATTATTAGGTATGGATATAAATACATAGATGCATCGTGAGGATGCAACAAATACACAATCAATGGTGTGTATTCAGCGTCGTACAAAAACCGGACATTTTATGTAGTGCGTGAAGTAGGCTCTTTATGGATCAGTCCGCCTAAATTATCTTTTTTTTACCCGCAAAAAAAAATTGCCTTCTTTTTGTCAAATCATGTCCAGTTCTTTTCGCAAAAAAATGAAAAGGAAAAAAATGTCAGCTCTATTTTAGTTTGGTCGTTCTTTACGAAATGTGTATCTTACTGTATGATGCGGGCATGAACTATTTCCGGTTGAATAATTTTGATGCGATATTTGATTCATTAAAATTTCTTTCACCACAAATCAGAATTGCTAGGAGTGTGACAGTATGTCACGAACACAATTGCAAAGGATTATGAGTTCATGACCAATCTTGAGGTATGGGAGAAGAGACATTTAGCTTAGAACACAGGGCACACACTTTCCGGACCCAGGTCGACCCCTTTAGCGGTGGGGCATATGGCCAGAGGGCAGTGCTCGCCGGCCGTGCCCCACCAAACAATGTTCCGGTTCTGCATGGTGAGCGCGAAGTAGAGCAGCACCGCCATGAAGGCGACCCCTGCGTCCATCGCGGCGGAGAAGATGTAGTTGTACCGCTGCCACCACCTCTTCCGGTACCGGAACACAAAGAAGTTGAAGATGGTCCCGACGAGCAGCCACGAGTTGTAGTTCACGGCCGTCGCCGGCGGCATGCTGGCCGTCGCGTTGATGAGCACCGGCAGGTTGATCAGCAGTATCCATTTCTTGTCGGGGAATATCCTGTGGAAGATGTAGACGACGAACGGAGACGCGGCGCCGATGAGGAAGAAGTAGTTGATGGCTGCGTAGTTGCCAAGCGGCCCGAAAATGCGCCGTGGACCAACGAGGCCCCAGATGACCGACGCGTCGAAGAAGACCCGGTCGTTGGGGCACGTCCATGGGCTATTCGCCGAGAGCTTTTCGATATGGCAGATGTTCTCCACGGAGCCGAGCAGCCACCATGCCACGCTGAGGTTGATTGTGCCGGCCACAATTGTACCGACGAACTGAGCGTGAACAGAGCGTGAAGGCCAGTACGTAAGTTTTATCTTTACACACATGTTACTCCTCTGCTTTGGAAGATGATCAGATTGAGGGGTTCTTTTAATTTACCTGAACAACGAACATTGATCTGGGGGGTATCTTCATGTAGTGGCCAAGCTTGAAGTCCGAGAGGAAGGCGACGGCCTGTGACATGCTCATGTAACCATACACCTTGAAGCAGACATTGGCGATGGGGTAGCCGGGCCTTATCAGCCCCATGGCGTACTCCGCGATGACATTCAGACCAGGCGACTGCCGTCCGTCAATTTATAAATGCCCTTTGTCAGTTTTCTTGCAAAATTGCAGGAGATTACACTGCAGATTCTTAAATTCACTTGCCTGGTTCGTGGTTGCCGTGATAATGCTTATGGGGAGGGTGAAGACGAAGGACATGCCACAGGCGAAGACGAGGCCCCACCATGGGAGCTGAACCTGGTCGATGAGGACGGTGCAGAGGATGAGGGCCACTGCCATCGACAGTACCGTCAGCGAGTAGAACCACCACGCCGGTATGTCCTCGTACGTCCTCATCAGCTTCGTGTGGACGTCAGGATCCTCCCGCCGCGAAACTCTGAACCGCTGGTAGATCTCCCTGCACATCGGTCCATGTCCCATTCAGTTCGGATACCAGACGTGATCACAGTAGGCCGACGTGCAGAGATGAGAGCCCTTACTTCCCGTAGAAGAGGCCGACGTGCGAGATGGTGGCGGCGATGGTGGCGAAGCTGAGCCCGTAAGAGAGCGCAAAGAAGGTGCTGATGTTCACCATGCCGAGCTTCCCGTAAGCGTCAATGTCGAGCTCGAACTGCTTGTTCACAATGGCGTCGATGTCGTAGTCCGTCCCGTTGGACATGAAGAGCTGCGTGGAGAAGATGGGGAACGTCTTGGCGTGGTACAGGTTGGTGCCCCAGTACGCCGTGGGCACCAGCACCCAGACGAAGAAGACGTAGCCGACGAAGATGTTGGCGATCGCGAAGAAGGGCGTGATGAGCGGGCTGCCGAGGTAGGAGGCGACGGTCTCCCAGTCGAGGGTGAAGGCTCCGAGGCCCAGGCCTTTGAGGCCGGAGCCGAGCTGCTGCGCGGTCACCGACTTGGGGAACGCCCAGCACACCCATGCGATGGACGTCAGGCTCTGGAAGATGAAGCCTGGCAGGGCGTAATACGAGAAGCTGCAGATGAGCACCACCAGAAAGAACTTGAAGCGTGAGATTTGGCGCGAGCCCTTGGCGAACTCTTCCTTCTCGTGCAGTGCCCTGGTACAGCAATGCAGGTGTTGTTAGTGTCGTGCTACATGCTGAGGCATGATTTCATGATAATGTATTCGATATGGCTACCACTTACAACATCCTGAATCTGTCTGGTTACTAATTATTTGATCACCTGGTTATCATTTTAAGTAGGGGCCTGGCCCCACACTCAGCCCTCTTTTGGCCCGCTCTTACTCTTGCCCTTCAAGTCTTATACTCCCCCCGTCTCATAATATAAGAGCGTTTTTGACGCTAGTGTAGTGTCAAAAACATTCCTATATTAAGTGGCGGAGGAAGTATATCTCAACACTTACAATACAAAGTCGTGAATATTCAAGATCGATTTTGATTTTTTCAGTTGATCGATAATTAACTATTTCTAAGGCACCGGTAAAAACCATGCGATTAAAACATTAGGATCCGTGAAAATGTAAGAGGATAAGTAATATGGATCAGACAGCTATCACCATGTCGACTGAAATATACTCCCTCTGTTTCATAATGTACTGTATTTTTTGGTTTCTAAACATCAAACATTTTTATGTTTAACCAAATTTATAGGATAAACTATCGACATCTAAAATACTAAATGAATGAAATATAGAAGTACACTTCATGATGAATCTAATAATAGTGATTTTCTATCGTGAATGTTGATATGTTTTCTTTAAGCTTGGTCAAATATAAACATGCTTGATTTTCAGAAAACGAAATATGCACCACAGTATGGAACAAAGGGACTAATAGTTAAAAATTAACTGAAATGGTTGCTCCTTTTGCAGGGAAAAAAACATAATCACTCCAATCCTTTAGTTCATTGAGAGTCCTTTCAGAATTTTACAATTATTCCCGATCAAACCACACAAATTAAGTGCCCTCAATCATCATTTCATCTCCCTTCATGTATAGTCCATCAATCTTATCAGATTTGTCAAGTCCTATATATGGGTTGGGTTTGCCGCGATGGCATGGACCCTTCCGATGACTCGCAACAAGTTGCTTATCGAGCGAGTTCCTATGTGACAAGAAACGATTATATTAAAATTAAATGTCTTTATAAAGGTGTTTTGACCACTCTCTAAGCGGCGGGAACTTGAGTATGTTCGATGCCAAGATTGGTCTTCGGGGGGTAGGTTGTCATCTCACCACCCCCTCTTAGCCCTACCTTTTTTGCAGCTAGGTGGTTTTTCTGTATGTATATCTTGGGCATGTTTCTACTGTTGCACCAGTACATTGAACTTTGGTGTGATGCTTTATCTGTAAATTGGGGCGAAAGCCTATTTCCTGAATGTCAGAGTCTAGCTAGATCCAATACTTATGCTCCACAGATTATGGAGCTATTTTTCGTTGTTGCCTTTTGTATCTTTAATTAATGACAGCCTGCCGATTGGAGCCAATTTTAGCACCTTGGTTCAGAGTGACGGCTACTGATAATACTATGTGCACAACTTGTTTCTAGTAGAAAAAAACAGTGACCTGTTCTTCTCGGGAAAGATGGTTAACGCACTTGACACTAAAAAAACATTAGCTCGGCCCAGCTTTTGGTTATGTTATGTGGTTCTTGTCACTTTACCTTGGGGCAGTACCTTTCTCCATCGACTTCGTCGACAAACTGGGGAGAAGGCAAGTTGTAGTATATGTACTTAGTACAGCTATTTGAAGCTATGCGTGTTTCAGTAAGTTTGTCTACTCGAGGACAAACCAGTAATGACTAATGAACGAACCACAGCGGATCGTTGAGAGACGGATACTCGTATAAATTTAATGGGGCAGTTCTTTGTTCGCCCGTCTCCAAAATGCAAAATCTAGTGGCAAAACCAACAAAAATCCAACCAACTCAAGCCATCAACGATGCGCGTACAGTAAAAAGAATGTAATACTATGCAAGAAGGCGACCAAACGAACTTGAGTAGAGTGGGTATAGTGATCGTCAGAGGTGCTCACCGGAAGAGCGAGACCTGGACGAGCGTGCTCGGCCACCACATGTGGGCCGGCTCCACCACGTACTTGCGCATCAGCCCGGCCCACCCGTACCCAAGCACCTAGATCGATTTGATTTCGATGCCACAGAGCAGAATTAAGAAAGAGTAGCATGAAAACTGGGCTCGGTGGCCATCAGAAAGAACACCAACGCATATAGTATGAAACTATGAACTAGAGTACGTACCTGGGTGGTGATGATGAGGAGCCAGGCGGCGATGTAGGAGATGGAGCGGCCGTAGAAGGCGCGGATGATGTCGACGATCATGACGGCGTAGGCGTTGCCGTTGCCGAAGGCGTAGCCGGCATTGGCGAAGATGGAGATGAGCACGTGCTCCTTCATATTGAAGGGCCCCGGGTTGAGGCTCCACTCCCCACCGCCGAGCAGCGCCGGCGCCCGGAACTTGCGGCGTGGCAGCACGCGCGCCAGGAAGTGGCCCATGGGCAGCGACGCCACTTGCACCGTCAGCGAGGTGATGACGAGCGGCTCCGTCCGGTAGGAGAAGAACTGGTTGAGGAAGCTCAGCAGCGAGCAGGAGAAGAGCCCGATGCTCCACATCCGGAACGTCCACACCGGCAGCGTCGGGTCGTCGACAGTGGGGACCGTTAGCCGCACCTCCTCGATCGGGGAATTCTCCTCCTCCTCCAGTTTGCCGGGGGCGGTGGCGAGGCCGCGCTCGTCCGCCTCTGTTTCGCCCATTGCTATGTCCGCTGTACGTCTATACCGGAGGGGGTGGTGGTATGGGAGGTCTGATGGCCCGGCCATTTATAGGGGTGCTGGGGTTTCAGGGGGAGCAGCTACTATTGTGTCCACATTCTTTGGGCGTAACGTTTGCTTACCACATTAGTGTTGTCAGGCTTCTCCTAACAAAAGACTCGGATTAAATTATTATTTTTGCCGTAGATGGACTCAGATTCATTTTGTGAAAGAGAGAAGTGCATATTTCAATGGGAAATACACGTCAGCACCCGGGTGCTCTACCCCTAAATATTAAATTCAAAAAATACCAGGATTTTTTTTAAAATCTGGAATCTTGGGATATCAAACCGGGGTGCCCAATCTACTGTCATGTGAAGTTTCATGAAAAAATACGAGGAAATGTATCCGTGACGAAGAAAACGAAGTCCGACCTACTATCCACCAAACAACTATTTCTATACATAGGAAGTATTATTATTTTCCCACGGATACGGTTCCTAATATTTTTTCACGAAATTTCACACAAAAGTAGATTGGGTACCTAGGTTTGATATTTCAAAATCCCCCAAAAAATTCAAATTTCCCCATATTTTTTTGACCTAAATGTTCATGTAGAGGGGCAAATCACCCAGGTGCACAAATCATATTTCAACCCCTAACTCTTGCCCTAATCTAATTTACAACCCCCAACTACCAACCCATCCGCGTTAGAACCTCGAACTCTTAAAATCGACCAGGATTCAATCCTCCCCTCCCCGTTGACCAGATTTAACCCAGTTGACCATCCAATCAACATGTCCAGTGTGCAAGCTACGTCAGCAAATAAAAACAAATTTTCCAGAAAAAACAAAAAAAACTGTAAAATAAAAGAATAGTATTTTCCTAGAAAAAATGGAAAAGCAAAAAACTTAAAATCAGAATAAAATAAAATTTAAAAATATATGTAGAATCAAGAAAACATTGCTAAGCACCAGGAAAAGTTTTTGAACTTTTTAATTTTGTGGATTTTTCAGAATTTTGAACTTTTTATTCAGAGTTTTTAGAAAACATCCGCGGACTTTTTTTCCCAATTTTCCAGATTTTTTCAGAATTTTGAACTTCTTCAGAATTTTTAGAAAACAACCCCAATTTTGTTGATTACCAAGAAATTTGAAATTTTCTAAAAAATGATTTTACATTTTTATTTTTCATTTTTTCTGGAAATTTTGAATGTTTTCCTAAGGTGGCGTAGCTTGCTGACTAGATGGTCAATTGGTCAAAACCAGCCAATAGGGAGGGGAGGATTGAATCCTAACCGGTTTTAAGAGTTCGGGGTTGTAATGTAGACAGTATTGGAGTTGAGAGTTGTAAATTAGACCAGGGCAAAAGTTGGGGGTTGAAATATGCACTTTCTCTCTTTTTGAAAACATTTACAGGGCAATCGCGATTGTTGCGAACCTTAGTCAAACTTTGTGATGTGAGATCTATATGCGTTTGAAGGTACCATCTACACACCGCTCGGCATGAACGGTTATCTATCTTATAAACCAACAACGAGGTATCAACTGCACGACACTGAGGCAAAAGGGTAAAACATGGAGCAAAGGCGCGAGTGAAGTTGAGCAGAGATTGGACCTGAGATAGAGGGAATTCACGATACATGGCTTAGGATTACAAGTGGAAGCACCAATGCCGAGATGAACTTGTACATCTCAGAGCTAAGGGGATGCTTGCTGGAGAAATGAGAAGAGCAAGAGTGGTCATAGTCTGGTCAGGTCGGTCGAAATAGCATTGTAGCACCCTCGGTCATGGGCAAGAAAGAGAATCGGCCGGGAAGGAGGGGTGGGTCGACAAGAGAATGGAAGGCGATGATATTGCCACAGACGAAGTGATAAGTGGCACAAGAAAAATGGGTTGGAGTGAGTGGCGGAGTTAGGGTTAGGATTAAAGTGGCGTAGGCTTTTGGATGGATCGAGATCCAATGCTAAGAAAAATGATTGGGATCTCGAACTTATTGAGTAACCTTTTATTTCATGAGAGAGTACGAAATGACAAGTGTAATAGTAAACCTCTTGTGGCGGAGCTGGCTACCATGGATTCATGATTTGACAACCAGCTCTTTTTCAAGGTGAAATGAGTTAGGAGATATGGGCATGAAGCTCAAGTTCAACAACTTCTTAGAGTCGAACAGGAGTACTGGCCTCAGAGGGGTAGGCAAAAGTGGATCACACATGGTGATGGCAACACGGTGTATTTCCACGCCTTTACGAATGTGAGACATCGTATGTGTGGCCTCTTGCACGTCATGTTGGGGTAGTGGCTCCTCTTGGGGTAGGGTGAGATCAAGAGACATGTTTACTATTTTTCACATCAAGTTGTCGGGATCGAGGGAGCATCGCCTTACTGGCCTTGGCCCCAATATTCGGGACCCCACGGAAATGACACGCTTCCCCTTCCATTCCTTCCAAAAGAAATTGACCGCGCCTTATTTAGCATGAAACCCATACCGCCCTGGGCTCAATGGCTGGCTTGTTTCCTCTTTCGTAAATTTTAGGGTTTGCTTAAAGAGGATGCTTACGAAATGATTAACGGCTTTGCCTTGGGTACCGTGGATATCGTATCTTAAGTTTGGCGTTCCCTCTCATCCCTAAAGTCAAATGCATAGATCCAGCAAGCATTTTAGATTAGTCGCTCGTATTAACATCCTGTTTGAAATTGCAGCTAAAGTTTATGTGAATAGGGTGTAACACCCCGAATGTAATTTTCCATAATTGTAACTCCAAACTCTTGCCATTTTCGGCTATGCGATATGATATCTCCTTCATGGTTGGGTTTTTGTTTTGGTTTTGCATTTTGGTCATGTCATGCATTTCATCTCATGTCATCATGTGCATCCCATTTGCATCCGTGTCCGTCTCATGCATCCAGTCATTTTCACCGTTGTCCGTTTCGCAATTCGACACTCCCACATGCACTCCTGCACCCCTCTAATCTTGCTTCGTGAGCAGGAGACAAACCTTCTCGGAATGGGTCGAGATTTGTCGAGTGGCCTCGGTACATCACCGGCACACCGTCTGTCAAATTTCATTCCATTTGGAGGTCATTTGATGCCCCAACGGTTAACCGGGTAACCGTAAAAGCCTCTTTTGTGTTTCAGCCCAACACCCCTTCAAAACAGCCCAACAACCATCTAAACCCCCTCCATACTCTCCATCGTTGGATCACGATCGTGTGGGCGAAAACTGCATCTCATTTGGACTCTCATAGCTCCCTCTACCTATAAATATGTGCCCCTCCCCGAAATTCCCGCATCCAAAACCCTAGCAATCTTCCCACTCCGCTGTCGGACGTGTCCGTCCGCGCCGGACACCCGCGCCGCCGCTGCCGGGACGAACCCACGCCTGCCACATCAGCGCCCGGCCGCCTCCGCCGCCGACCGACCACCACGCCTCACCGGTGCCGTTCCGCACCGCCCTGCCACCGCACGCCGCTCCTCGCTGGCGTCCCGCTCCGCCGCCGCCCGAAGTGCTCGCGCCTCCCTCCGCGCCGCCCGCGCCAGCTCCGGCCGCTTCGGTCGCCAGATCCAACTTCAGCCGGTCCCCTCTCCGGCGAGCACCTCTGGCCACCACATCCTCTCCTTCTCAGGTGAAAACCCGACGACCTCCGGCGAACCTCGATCTACGTGCCCGAAACCATAGATCCAGTTTTGGATAAGGTTGACCCCCGAATTTCTTCTAAGTCCCGAGATCCCTCTAATTTTTATGCCTTGTTCATCATGCCATAAATCCATGCTCGTAGCTCCGATTCATGCATATGATATGTCGAAATGTTCGTATCGTGATGCTCTTCATGTTAGTGCCATTTGCATGCATGTTAATGTCCATATTAAGGCTATATGATGTTAACTTCTGTCTGTTAACAGAACTTGATGATTTGTCATTTTTGTTGCATTTTGTGTGTTCATCCTATGAGCATGATGTCTACATGTGTTTTGAGCTTCATCATGCCAAATTTACAAGGGTTCAACTCTTGTATTTTTATGAGCTATGCGGTGACTAGCACAAGCATGCAAAGTAGGCTCCGTGATGTTGTTGACTTCAGACACGGTGTTTTGCCAAGTCCTTTTCCTGTTACATTTTGATGCCATGTAAACTTGTTGCTACCATGAGATCCATGCACATTTTCTAGATAGTTCAGTAAGCGTGTTTTCTAGTTGTGGTATTGATCTATCCATTCACATTCCTGTAGTTGCAATTATGGAGTGCCCTAGCATGTCATTTGCTTCCTCTACTTTTGCTAAATATTATTCCTGGCAGATTGTTAACATGATAATCAATATTTCCAAGTGTTTTGCTAGTGATGCATGTACCCTATGAATTTGATCTTTCCATGTTTAGCCTATCAAATATGTCTACTTAGTGTTGGTTACCTTGTGATGCCATGAAATTCATTGTGGTGAGTGAATTGAGCTTGTAAAGTTGCCATCATGAATCTGTTTATGCCATGCTCTGTTTTTCTTCTAAGTCTGAAACTGTTAACATAACTTTCCATGTTTGCATGGGTGCCACATCAATTTCCCTGCCTCTTTGGTTAAAGATCAGTAAGGGAGTTTTGTTCTATGTGTTTAGCACTAGCATGACATGCCTTTTTGCCATGATATTTTCCTATCGCATGTCTGTTGGAAATATGCCCTAGAGGCAATAATAAAATGGTTATTATTATATTTCCTTGTTCATGATAATTGTCTAGTGTTCATGCTATAATTGTGTTATCCGGAAATCGTAATACATGTGTGAATACATAGACCACAACACGTCCCTAGTGAGCCTCTAGTTGACTAGCTCGTTGATCAAAAGATAGTCATGGTTTCCTGACTATGGACATTAGATGTCATTGATAACGGGATCACATCATTAGGAGAATGATGTGATGGACAAGACCCAATCCTAAGCATAGCTCAAAGATCGTGTAGTTCGTTTGCTAGAGCTTTTCCGAATGTCAAGTATCATTTCCTTAGACCA